GTGGCCATCGACAAACCGATTACAGCAGGGGGCGTTTCTGGACATTGAGCCACTCACTCGCCCATTGATTTGCCCATTGCTTTAGCCCGGTGGTCTGCATTGGCATTGTCATTGCCCATCCGCTGGAGCATCGGTTTTCTGGGTCCGCCGCCCACAAATACCTTCCTTCCACCACGCACGCCCACCCCAAGCAACCACGCCTGAGAACGCGCGACGTCGCATTCGATCACCGATCACCCCCGGCCATCAAACAGGCTACCCAGTTTACTTGCCCATCATTACGAAACCGACAAACAGCACTGCCGGCCTTCTTCAACGGATCGTCGAAAATAGACTGCAGTGCAGACCGACCTTGACTTAAATCCAGCTAAGGTCCTGCACAATCATCGGTGAACGGCAGAGAAAAAAAAGAAAGACAGCGACTGCTGCTACCAGTGACTGCATCGGCGAATTGCTGCACTGAATCGACGCGGGCAGAAAAAAAAAAAAAACACCAGACGGAGCAGAAACCGGCAAATCGCATCACCAAGACATTCGCGGACAATCAGGAGGCGCCTACCGTCCGAGTAGACCCAGTGAACAGGGCCCAGTTCAGTGTGCGAGCGAGCGCCCCCAGCCTCTCACCCCAAATCTCCATCGAAAGGGAAAAAAAAAAGAGGCGGCGCTTAGCCGTTTGCGGACCACGTCCTTCCCTGCAACATCCCCCAAAGGCGGCGCACCCCAGCGCAGCAGGAGCAGCATCCCGGCGTCGCTCGCCCGAAGTTGCCCCCATCAGAATCCATCAGACTCTCAGACTCCCGCCTTTCTGTTGCAGCTTGCAGCATCCCGTCGCCAAACATCAGCCAGTAAATTCCCTACAGGCACAGGTACAGATAGGTACGTATCTCTCACCTAACCCTGCCCACCAGCCTCAATCCTCACCCTCCCCGTCGCCGTCACCGTTTTCCCACCTCACCGCGCCCACCCACGCGTGTGGGTGTCATCGCACTACCCCGTTGCAGGTCGGTATTGGAGCTTTGCTGGTGGTAGTGCCGGTGGTGGTGGTTGCCCGGCCGTTCGTTCCTGCTCGGCACACCAGTACAGGCTGCTGCTGCTTCTGCTTCTGCTTCTGCTTCTGCTTCTGCTTCTGCTTCCCGCGACTAAGAAGGGCCTGTACCTTGCCAACTTTACCTTTGCCAGCTCGCCTTCCCCCAGCCACATACGAGACACTATCTTCCCTGCTTTTCTGCCTCCTTGCGACACCTCTCCGAAGGAAAAAAAAAAAAAGGGAGGACACACATCTGCACAAATCCTCACCACGCTTCTTTCCTGCTTCCTGCTCTCGTTCTCCCATCACAATCACATCTCCATCAGTGGAACAGTGGAAACAGCCCGGTTCTACGGGTACACTACCTGCTGCTAGTCCTGCATCCCCTCCCCCCCCCCCCCCCCCCCCCCCCCTCCTCCCCCGGCAGCTTGCCGGAAACACCACACGCACCCCTTCTGCCCCTTCTATCGGTCCACATTGCACTGCTCCATATCACGCCTCCCCCTGGGAACACTACCTAGGCTGCTTCGCTAGCGAGCTCCTGGGAACCGCCCGCCCACTCTTCCCCTTGCTGACCCGCGATAAGGCACGCAATAGCTCCATCAAACGTCCTTGCTCGCCGAGACCCAGGCCCGCTGCCCACTGCCACTGCGCCCACCGCCCGTCACCGAGCGAGACAGATCAATTAAAACTAGTACCCTCCCCCGGCCGCCCATCATGGCAGAGCATCATCCACTTCCCGCCCTGCCTCCTCAGCAGCAGCAGCATCACCAGCCGAACCAGCAGCAGTACTACTCCCAAGAGCCCGACGAGTATCAAGCACCGTCTCAGTTCCCCCCCTACCAACAGCAGTACGACCAGCCTCAGCGCCCGCAGCCGCCCCCGATTCCCCAGTCCCAGAGCCACTCTTCTCAGAATCAGCAGAGGCGCTCCCGATCAAGGCCCAGGACTTTCAGCTTCCAGTCCAACAAATCCCACAAGAGCTCTGGAAGCAGCCACAAGATCGACTTTCACGAAACACCCGAAGAGAAGGAAGCAAAGAGATTACATACCAAGGCAGATCCTACCGTCGCTATGAGCGAGGCCGAGCCTTGTAAGTCGCCTCGACATGCGTTGGTCGTTGGTCAAGGCGCATACACTAACACACTATGAACAGCTGCCGTCCAGGCTATGGAACAGACTTCTCTCGCCCCTCTTCGCGCAATACAACACAAGGATGGTCTCGGCAATCCCATTGGTACGTTATAGCGAAACCTGCAAAATGTCGGTGGTGAGTGTGGGCTGATTCTTTAATGCAGCCGAGCCTGACCGGTCCAACCCTACCCGCAGCCGCTGGGAGCGACCGCTAGACACCATTCGCAGCTTCGAGGCCGCGATTGATGGAGGTTACCGTGACAGGGACCGTCGTAAGTCTTATATTCGTTCAGGCATGTCTACTTCATCCCCCTGGAGACCCGTTGCGTCTAACACTTTTCGCGTAGACACAGAGTCGATCGCGACATGGAACCGCCGAAGCAGCTACTATGCTAGTAAGTCTTGCAATCAACTAACGGAGTAGGCGACATCGCTAACCCCCAACCAGCCAGTGGACCTCGCTACCCCCAGGACAGCTACTATGGCAGTCGCCCTGCTTCATACCGACCCGAGAGCAGCCAATTTGGCATGGGCAACAACCGACAGAGCTACTACGATAATTACCAGCATGGAGGAGGCTATCACAACGGAAACGATATGCCTTATCGCCAGAGAGTACCGCGAACGCAAACAGAACCGCACATGAGTGGCTATGGGAGAGGCGACCAGAATATTTACCCCCTGCCCAACAAGGACCGCTCATACGAAACGGTAACGTCTGCGGCTGGAAGTGGAAGCTCGGGCGAGCACGCGGGATACCACACAGATCCGACCAGCAGCGACAACAGTTCTGTCGAGCGTGTTCCGCCCCCTAAGAAAGCGCCCGCGAACGACTACGGAATCGGCTTCAGCCAGCCAATGACATCCGAGCCACCCTCTTTCAACTTCGAGAACGGCGGACCGAGCAACCAGCAGCATCAGCAGCATCAGCAGCAACAACCGATCAACATCAAGACTGGTCCACGAGTGTCCGGAAACTCGAATGTGCTGCGAAGGCCGGTGGCAGCCCCGCAGCAAATGCAGCAACCGCCGAAACAGCAACAGCAGCAGCAGCAGCAACGGCCCGAGCCTGCCAAGAGGAAGAGCTGGTTTTCCCGCAGGTTCAGCAAGTCATCTTGAGGGGCGCAAGGCATGAGATATGAGACGGTTTCAGTTTTTTTTTGTCGATACCCCCATTTTTTCTACCTACGAGGCGGGAGGCGGCATGGCACCTCGGCCGGAGATCAGCGTAGCATACTTGGGGCTGGCCCGGTGACGGCGAATTGCCATTTCGCTTCGAGGCGGTCCTCGTGATCATGGATGGGCTGGGTTGCCCGCGGACAGGTTGAACAACCAGGTGACATCTGGTTCTATTCAAAAAGACGGTTTAATGTTGTTGGATGACGGTACATGCATACGATTCGTACGATATTGAGATTATGAAAAACCATCTCAGAAACAGATGGTCGGGTCACGGCACAGTCCCCAGCGGCTATAAACAGCCTACGGTTACGCAGCTGGAGACTTGAGGCCGGTAATCGCTTCTTACTTGTCCTAATGGGACGGAACGGCTTGCTTGCAGATCCGCAGAAGTAGGAAGGAACCGCAAAATAGATTTGCAATTACTCGCTTGAGAAACAAACCGTATCTCGGAACATGTGCCTGGCGTAGGCGTGGTGCATCTCGGCATGAAGAGTTGCATTCCATGTGGTCATTTATAAAGTGAGACAACAGCCCATGCAAACGCGGCCTCTAGCGATCCTTTTTCGCCTCCTTCCAGTCGCCAAGCTGATCACTCTGGTCTTCCTTCATAGCAACGATGACATACGTGATCAGGACGACGTTGGCTACGACGGCGGCGAGACCTCCAGCGAAAGTCGAGTTGCCTGGGTTTGTTTGTCAGCATTTCCGAATCTCGTCGACTCGATCCATGGATTAGAACCCACCCTTGAAGAGAAAATCGACCGTCGCGAAATAAGTTCCGATGGGCATCACAATCATTGCGAGCGTGAATCCGAGAAGCTTCATGATGACATCCGTCGGCACGGCCGGGGTGATGTTGGACTTCTCGCCGGCGGCAGGGCTGGCGCCAACACGATCATCCTTCTCTAGGATGGTCTTTTCTGAAGCCACGATGCGTCGGGTAGCCATTGTGTTGTCGGAATGCCGCAGCTTGGGGCTGACTGAGTGAACAGCAGATGTGTCCCAATTATTGCACTGATATAACGGTCAGCGTGGTGATCGCAGGAAAAAAAATGAAGAGTATGACTCACACTGAAGGTGCTGGACAGAGACGATGAGTATGATGGACAGTCTCGTTATTGCTGGACGTTGGAGCTGTCGTCAATCGCAAGTCCCACCTCTTCAAGGAAGGTATGTTAGCTCACCAGATTGAGGCGTGAAGTCAAAAGACAGCAGGTACCGTTGGAGTTGACACTGTGCCGCACGGCTTTTTAATTGATGACGCGAGCCACGTGCTTACGCGCTACGGTCTCTTCTGACCGCGTCTCTCCGGTCTGCCGTGTCAACGGACGGGGGGGATCTGCCCCAGAAAAATCCCACCTAGGCCCTGCGTCGAGCCGCCATCTCCTCAAATCTCGACCGCTCCTACCAAAAAACGCCAGCAATCCCAAATTGCCAGGCCCGTCGCTCTTTCCTCGCGATCTTTGCCGGCTCAGCTCCAACAGTTTCGCCCACTTTGCGATTATAGAGTCGGTTTTCACATCCAGGAAGCGCCTGTTGAGATCTCTTTATTATTTCCCACGACACCAGCCCCCCGCTTTGTTGATCGGCCATTGTTCTCTTCTTCAACAAACCAATCTCTGTTTTCCTCTGCTGGCCACAGCAGTTTACGCCAGCCATGCCCATTCCTTGGGATCTCAGCTCTTCGCCTCCGGCGGCGGAAGAGTCTACATACAAGCGCTCAGCGCCATCTTCTAAGGCTCAACACCACAGTAGCGATGCCGACGAGCTCGCGGAGACGATTCCCTGCTCCCCTTTTCAGACACAAGCGACACAGATCATCAAGCGCAATTCACAAGCCACGCAACCGACACAACCGTTAGCACTGCAGGACCCGTTCTCGTCTCCCTCGTCGCGATCGGTGATTGAGGTTCCTGCCTCCTCGCCCTTCCAATCGAAGCCTCCGAAGCCGGCCGTAGTATCGAGCTACTTCAATCGCCTCGTGCCTGCTGGGGCCCGCTTTCAGTCTCCGGCGACAGCAAAGACCCTCAAGAGACCCGCCGAGGAGCCCGTCGTGGTTGATGATTCTTCAGACGAGGAGAGCGATAGCAAGCGCAGGGGAGATATCAGCCGGACTTCCTTCAACAAGCACGTTTCGTCTTTTCAATATGTTCCGGTCGATGAGCTCCAGGATAAGATCGAGCAGGTTGCCAACGTCGTGGGCCGTACCCTACCGACATACTGCTTTAAGGAGGCATTGGGTGCTTGTAACAACAGCGTTTCTGATGCCATTGAGTATCTGCTTGATGGCAAGCATCTCAAGAGCAAGCACAACAGCTTTGTGAGCTCTACGAAGCCGAATGTCCCAACCAAGTCCCGACTCCTCGGGCGTCACACGCCGAATCTGCCTACTCCATCACGGAGCACCACCCCTTCGCCACCGAAGCAGAAGCGACGTCGATTGATGCAAGGTCGCCGGCCTGGCAGATCTCCTGTCTCGTCCCAACAGACCCCGCAGCGGCCGCGAGACGATAATGACGGCGTGGATGAGCTTGCGGAAGACAGGGTTGACGAGCCGATTGTCATTCCCGACGATGGAGATGACGACGATTTCGACAATGAGGACGACATGAACGATGCGGTCAAGGGTAGCTTGGAGGATAAGGCTCTTCAAGTTATCAACACCAGCACGATGGAGGACTTGTCCGCCATGACGAACATTAAGCAAGACGAGCTCAAGATCATTGAAAGCAAGAGACCTTTCGACAGCATCGGCGAGGTCCAAGCCGTCACCCTCTCCAAGAAAGCAGGGGCCCGGGGTCGCAAGTCGCCCAAGGTTGCTGTCGGAGAGACTCTGGTGGATGCCATCATGGAATTCACACAGAGCGTCAACGCCATTGATGAGGTGGTTGCCGAGTGCGACAAGAAGGCCAGCCGGGTGAAGCAGGAGATGAGCTCGTGGGACCTTGATTTCAAAGGACAGAAGCGCAGCACTCAAACTAGTGGCGATCTGCCTCCGACGCCGTCGAGCTTTCGGGGACAGAAATTTTCGGACCCTCCGATTCCTTCCCAACCAAAGTACATGGACGGACACTGCACTATGCGACCTTTCCAGTTGTTTGGACTCAATTGGATGTCGCTTTTGCACAAGAACGGCTATGGATGTATTCTGGCTGACGAAATGGGCCTTGGGAAGACGTGCCAGGTCATCTCTTTGATATGTCATCTCGTCGAGGACTTCGAAAAGAACGGCAAAGGAGAGAGACCGTGGCCCAATTTGGTTGTTGTGCCGCCTTCCACCTTCTCCAACTGGAAAGTTGAGTTTGAACGCTTCGCACCGGACCTCTCGGTACTCTCCTACCAGGGCTCTCAGGCTCAACGGAGAGAGGCTGCGGACGAGATGCTTGAAGATCCTGAAGCGTACCACGTTGTCTTGACAACATACACGCAAGTCGGGTCAGAGGAGGACCTGGAGGCTATGCGCGAGCTCGCCCCGGCTACCGCCATCTTTGACGAAGGCCACAAGATGAAGAACCCCAAGACCAAGATCTACAGGGATTTGATCAGGATCAAGGCTGGGTGGCGAATGCTGCTTACCGGCACGCCCGTCCAGAACAACTTGATGGAGATGCTGTCGCTGCTGAACTTCATCGACCCAGAACAGTTCAAGAGCCGCATGGATCAGCTGCAGTATATGTTCAGCCAGAAGGTGACCATCCGCGATGTCAACAATGGCGCCTTCCTCTATGGTGAACGTGTGAGCCGCGCGCGCACGATTCTTGAACCTTTCATCCTGCAACGACGCAAGCAACAAGTCCTTTCCGACATGCCGGCAAAGATTTGCAATGTCGCATACTGCGATTTGGCGCCATCGCAAAAGGAGTTGTACGAGGAGTACGAACGCCTTTTCAAGTCGGGGCCAGTCAAGAAGATAAATGTCGGGCGTCAGAGCGATCAGAACAACAGCTGGATGCAGCTTCGTAAAGCTGCCATTCATCCCCAGCTTTTCCGCCGCTACTTTGATGACAAGAAGGTCGAGAAGATGGCGAATATCTTGATGAAGAAAGTACCGCAATCGGAACTGCAGCAACCCCGGATTGATCATCTGATTGGGGAGTTGCAGAACTGCTCTGACTTTGAGTTGCATCTATGGTGCCGCGACTACGATTGCATCAGCCATCTTGACGTTCCCGAAGGTTCATGGATGGAGAGTGGCAAGGTCACCAAGATGCTGGAGCTTATACACCAGTACCGGGAAAACGGCGACCGCGTGCTCGTGTTCAGCAAGTTCGCCAAGGTTATCGAGATCTTGCGGGAGGTGCTCGCTACGGACGGCATCCGGCATTGTGTTCTCTATGGCCAGACGGAGGTGGCTGAACGCCAGAGCTTGATCGACGAGTTCAACAACGACACCGACATCACCGCCTTCTTGCTCACCACCGGCGCAGGCGGCACGGGCATCAACCTGACGTCGGCAAACAAGATTATCATTTTTGACCAGTCAGACAACCCGCAAGACGACATTCAGGCGGAGAACCGGGCTCATCGTCTGGGCCAGACCCGTGACGTCGAAGTCATTCGCCTCCTAACCTCTCGCACCATAGAGGAGCTCATTTACAAGGCTTGCCAGAAGAAGATCGAGCTAGCCGAGAAGGTGACGGGTGCCGTGGACGAGGTCGCCGGCAAGGCGGCAGAGGAGAATCTGGAGAAGGAGGTACGCAAGATGATGACAGAGCAGCTCACTCCGTCATGATTGGTATGATTTCTTACGCGTGGCGTTGCTGGTGAGCCTCAGAGCTTTCTGCACCCACGAATGCCTATGATCAGCCTGTCTATCAAGGACGTGTTTTGACTTTTTGGCGGCGCGATACCACAACATTGAGAGCAAGGAACACTATCTTGTATTAATTCATGAAGAGCGACTACACGAGCATGCGTGCTAGTATTTAAAGGGGACGACGGCATGGTACGGCGGGAGTACTGTGGGAACAAGACAAAAGGAAAGGGTCATCAGCTTTCTTGCATTCTCCGTTGGAAACGGGTCTAGAAGTGCCGCAGAAAGTGGCTGCATATAGAGAACCATCAGACTTAGATGAGGTATCAAACGAGAAGACAAGCCTCAGAGGCATGGTTAGTGATCCTATCACCACATACCTCGCTGGTGTGACTTGCTATTACAGAACTTTGAACAATTGTGTAGTGAGAGGAGACGTGTCTCCCATCCACATCGATTGAGACATCTGCACAACTATGTTTTCTGTGCACTTGATGCTCCTAGTTTTGAGGCTTTCTTTGCTCGAGGACGACTATAGATTATAGTGTTATAGACGACAATGGTGGACAAAGGCGACGATAGCGAGCACACAAGACAGTGTAGTTGCTCTAGCATAATAAAAGTAGGTGGCACCTGTCTATTCATGCCAATTAATGTCTGAAAACAGAGGTATCGTCGTCATGTGTTCAACTCTGGAGGCTTGTTACAACCACCACATTCACGAGAACCCTCAAGGGTCGATAATACGACGACATTTCATTAGGTTTCGATTCGGCGAAGGAAACAAACTCATGGTACAGGTTGTCGAAACGAGCAAACACCGCAAACCCACACCGCACCTCTTCTCTCATCACCCCAATATGCAGCCAGGGGCCGGTCGTGTTTCTGAATGTCCTCTTTCTAATCCCGTCTATTTAAGCTTCTCCTCGGGAGGCGCCGCGCCTCCGGTCGTCGGAAGACCCATGAAGATCTTGAAGTAGTCCTTTACCACATTGGTCAGTCGCTGGCATCACAAGTTATAAGTTGGACGAAAGGAAACTCACGTAAATCATCCACTGGAGACCGGTCAGGGTACCAATCATGACAATACGGACGGGCAGGCCGTTCCAGAGGCCGCCGAAGCCAATGTCCTTGTAGATGCGTCCCATGGCGGCGCCAAAGGCCTCGCCCTGCTGGCGGTTCGCGTTGAGCTTGCTGACCATGACGTCGGCCGGGTGCGAGACGATGGCGCAGAGGATTCCGGCGAGGTAGCCGCCGACGAAGGAGACGCCCGTCTGGGCGGCCTTGCTGTAGTCCTTCTTCTCGCCGGGCAGGCGGGCGTAGATCATCTCGACGATGGTCTCGAACGAGGCGAACTTCATCATGGTGTAGGGGATCTGGCGACCCCACAGAGGGTAGAGACTGCATTTGGCCCCCGTACGTTAGTTTCCCAACGTTCTTTTACACATAAGTTAAACATATGTTGGTATGGCTTACCCCTTGTACAGACCACCCCAGCCCTCCTTCGCAGTCACCTTGCTGATGCCGTCGAGGGTGCCCTTGTACGGCGAGGGGATGCCGCCCTGCATGCGGACCTTGACAGCCTCAAAGGGGCAGAGGGCGATGTCGGCGAGGAACTCGGCGGAGGCGGAGGCGGCCAGGTAGACACCGGTCTTGTACTTTGCGGCGTTCTCGGCGCCCACGAGCTCCGAGTATTCGTGCTTGAAGACCTCGTAGAAGCCGTACTTGAACGCCCCCTGCGCCGAGTAGCCCCAGAAGGTCGGGCCCCAGCCGGTCATGATGCCGCGGAAGCCCTCCTTGCGGAAGATCATGCCCCATGCCTGGAAGTTGCCCTTGTACAGCTTGGAGTCGATCTGGCGGCGGACCTTGACGAGGTCCAGCGGCGTCACGGCCGTGTGGGTGAGGCCCTGTAAGACTCTTTAGCTTCCGGGTGTTGCTGCTATGGTGGGTCGATTTCACTTACACAAGCCAGCAGCCCGCCCACCGTGCAGGCAGCATAATACTTGGCAGAGTACAGCTCAATGTGGCCCGCCTTGGCCTGGGCCTTTGCGCTGGCCTTTTCAAACTCGGCCGTCGCCTCGGCGCTCAGCTTCTGGGCCTTGCCCTTGACGTCGTCGACAGTGGAGAATGCGCCGTACAGCTCCGGACGAGCCTGGTAGCGGGTGGGCCTCGCCTTCGGGGCCGAGCCCGGGACTGGGGAGGCGAAGCAGCCCTTGAGGGTATCTTGTCTGGGGTAGAGAAACGACATGGCTGTGCGGATTGGGCTTGTATAATCTGTCGCAAGGTCAGCTTCTGGGTTGTCGCGGAGGTTGTTTAGCTATGCGGTCAACTCTCAAGGCAGCGGGCGGGGGCAATTGACTTGATAGGGGATGGCTAGAGTGATGAAAGTAGCATTCAGAAGGGATGACGAAATGAGGAAAGGATGACGATACCACCAGCAGCTCCAGGGAAAAGTGTCAATGAGCGCAGCTTGAATAAAGCGGAATCGGGGAACAAGAACAGCGCCGACCACCGCAATGCTAATGCTCTAATCAAAGTAGGCAGTATAAGCTTGCCCGAGCTGCGATGCTCTCGAGACCGAAGCTGAACGACGATGAAGCTTCGTTCATCCCAGACAAGAGAAAGACGTCGTCCGCGTCCCAAAGAGACAAGCACCAAAGTCACGCGACACGCGACCGCTTGCGGCGACGAGGAGGGAATGCATCGCAAAAGTCAAAAAAGCTACCACTTACACCGATGAAGCCCTCAATAGCTCTGGAATGGAGGGGCGCTATGGCGATAAAGAATGGAAGGAAGGAGAACCGAATGCTCCGAACGAAACACGCATGGGAAGGATGAGGTAAGGCGAGATGAATCCAGAGAAGAGCAGGTTTATTAGATAACTCGATCGGTTGGTCGCACACACACACACATTACCCGGGGAAGGACATGAAGGGGCAGGATTGGTCGGGTTGAGCCGGCCAAGCCATCTACATGTCGTCGGTACATGGCCTCCTCTCGCTGGGGAAAGCTCTTGCAAGCTTGTACACGTCTTGCTAGTTTAGCTTGGGTGAGTACCCCAAGGCCTGGTGAGCTGCCAGTCGATCAACGCTGAATTGCTCGGGAGTAGCAGTGACATCACAGCGGGAGAGCTCGGGGGCCCGATAAGGAGCTTGCCTTATCGGTACCCGTCTCAAAGCCCGCTTATTGCCGATAAGGCCGGATATTGCGGGTGAGTACAATCGCGAAGGGCGCGAGATGGAGACACCTGAATCTGCGGTCAATTTCTTCGTGGTCAACTGCTCTTCAGATTCTGCAGCTGAAACCGACTTGCCTGCCCGAACCCATGGTGCTCGCCCGCTGTCATTTCCTCAAAGCGGGCAATTGAATTCTGAAGCTCACCACCCCCGGGCTTGCTGCAACACCCTTCTCCATCCCATCATGTCACTGATACTGGGAATCCACAGGCCGTCACCCCGCTGTGGAACCCCCACCTCGGTGAACCAGGCCAGCCTCCGGGCGGTCAGAGACTCAGCGAAACCTTAACAGTGAGCGCGCATGGCGCAGGGGGGTCCGAAAAAGCAAGCAAAAAAGTCTTACCCCACTGTTCGTAACCGCCGCCGACCGACGTAGTGCTTGAGCTGAAGACACTACACACCTCATCCCTCCGAAATCTTTCAGCCCTGTCGACACCGCCCCTCCAGAACCCCGCGATTGTTTGACAGCCTTACGACAAGCCCGCGACATCTTGGCCTCGTTGAAGAAACCCTCGGTAGTTGAAAATTCACAATCATGGCCGCCCTGGCTTCCAACCCCGCGGCCGCCGCGCCGACGAGCGAATCTTCCTCTTCCCCCTACGTCTCAAAATGGTCCTCCCGCTACCGCGGTGTACGTTTCCTCCCCTCCCCTTCTAAACCCACGATGACTCCGTTTCCGAAACCTCCAGTACTGACACGCGCGGGCCCAACTAGGCAACGGTAGAAGACCTCGACCCCCCGGCCGCCCTCTCCCTGACCCCCAACGACCCCATCTCCGGCGCCCTCCTCGCCGCCTTCGAGCGCGACTACACCCACCTGACCGTCGTCGACGCCCACCGCGCCCTCGTCGGCTACCTCGCCATCCCTCACCTGCAGGCCCTCCTCGACGCCGGCAAGGTCACCCCCGCCGATCCGCTGTCCAAGGCCATGGTCCGCTTCCAGCGCAAGGGCCGCAAGTACCGCGTCATCACGATGCAGACACCCCTCGAGGAGCTCGAGGCCTTCTTCGAGGGCGACGGTGTGGAGGGTCGCAAGAGCCACTTTGCGGTCATCACGGATGAGAAGAGGCGGTTCGTGCTGGGTGTTGCGACGGTGCAGGATCTGGAGGAGTTTGTCAAGAGGAGGCCGGCTTAAAGGGGGACGTCTGGTGTTCTGATGAAGAGAGAGCGTCAGAGAGAGAGCAAGACGAAATGGGCTACATCGCAAACGGTGTGTTGGCAGGCCTCAGTGTCAGGCTACGATGGTTATGGTAGACGGCTGGCTGCATCGACTCGGGAGTTGGCGGTTCGGCATGAACCGGGGAAAGCATTGGGACCACAGCTGGGAGGCAGGCAGACGATTCAACACAGTTCTGTCGTCGCGACGTTGTTTTACACATATATACGATTCAATCACATGCTAAGATCAAAGAAATGTTCAATGACGGGCGTAGTCGTTGTTGTATTCATGCTCTCAGGTTTTCTCGTAGGGGTTTCCGTACCCAACGTCTCTGCTGCGTGATCAATATTACCTCTGGCGTGTATTGTCTTCCGATCCCGTCTTGCTATCCATGCGCTCAAATAAGTACCAGGATATCCAACGCCCCATTATCCGTATTGCGCGGCACCTAAGGAAGCCAATCGTACACGAGACGGATCTCAACTCTCTTGCCGCCCTTCTGAACGAGGACGTTGCGCGCATAGCGACGCTGGCCGTCGATGGTCTGGAATCCCCAGATCTGAGTGGCGGTCCAGCCGTTGTCGATGCTCTCCACAAGGCTGTAGATGTGGCTCTTGCCGTCAGGGCCGGTGGCCTCGGCCTCACCCTCGAGCCAAGGACCCTTCTTGAGAAATTCGTCCTCAACCTCCTCTGCAGACATCCACTTGCTCTGGCCGCGCACTGAGCCGAACATCCAGTCAGAGTGCTCGCGCCACTCCATGTCAAGGCAACGGTTCTCCGTGGTGCCCTTGAGGCCGGCGGTAGCGAACTGGTCAATGTCGATGTGGGTGACGGGCTCGGTGCCGCTGCCGGGGGGAGAGGGGGGAGCCGAGTACTGCTTCACGTGGAGGGTGACGGTAGCCATGCCAACGGCCTTGCGGACCATCCAGCTGATGCCCTGGAGGGCGAGGGCGGGCTCGGGAGAGTCAGAGAGGGTCTTGTTCTGTTTGCGCGGCGGGTGGTTAGCTGGGCGTCGCAGATACTAAGATTGTAGAGGCGCCGGGCGACGTACCATGACCCACTTGCCGGAGAGGTCGGCGATGGTCTTGTCCGCGGGGGCCGCCATAGTGTATGCTTGCTGCGCGTGAAGCTGCGGTGAGGTGTGTGGTAGATGATTGTTGGTGATGTTGTAGTGGGGTGAAGACAAGCTGCGGTGAGCTGTCTGAAGTGGTATGGAGTGGGTTTTGTAGAGAGCTACAAACGGATTTCAGACGGTCTTCGGTGGTAGATATAAGGTCCGCCAAGGTGAATTGACGTCGTGGCCAAGCATTCACCCAAAAGAGTCGAGAGAGGCCAGGCGCAAACCTAAGGTAGGCATAAAACAACATGGAATTTATCTTAAGTCGGGACGGAAAGCGCCACCGGGCTTTATACGCAATGGAGGACAGCCAGGTACCGACGCCATTCGGCAGGCACCTCCTTCCCGACGTTCATTGGATTCAGGTACAGGCGGTTCATGACTGGCACTCAAGGGGACGAATGGCAAGCGGGGCGGGGCACCGCTCCGGAGGGGATGGGGTCCTTGCTTGGCTGTCTCTCTCGCTGGGTGGGCGCGCTCGTGAGCCGACGACCCCTCCACATTCACATGAAGCTTTTCTTCGCAGACAGCCTGCCTCGCCCAGCAAAAGTTGCAACAGCAACACTGGATTGGCCCGAGGTTCGTTTCGCACTCGCACCGCGCCTCGACGCCCACCCCTGGGAACGTTCCATTGCGTTTTTCCATGATCCATGCCCGCGCCCCCAAATTCAGTCCCAAGACCCTCTGTGCAGTGAGATCATGACCGAAAGAATCCGTCTAACTGGCCAATACCTCACGGGCTATCCAATACACGTGTGCGTTTATAGCGTCAGACCGTTCTCTGGTGGGCTCTGGTTTCCTCTCCGATTCGCAACTTGACTCGACAACATAGTTACAAATTGTCTTCATTATACCGGCGGGCTTGGTTTATGACCTGTCCAGATCTGCGCAAACAAAATAAACCCCATGATCACAGATTACAACCCCCAAGTTCGAATTCGGTCGCCCAGCCCGTTGCAAGTTGCGGGGGAACGTCGCAACCCGAAGTCCCCGACAACCATCTAAACCCCCCAAGCGGACGACGCTCGGCCGTGCGCCCATCACAACCTGGACCAACGTTTCCCAAACAGGCAGCCGAGACATGCAGACGATTGGGGAACAGACGTCAAGTTCCGAGGCTGAGGCGGCCGTGCGGACATGCGAAGACCACCAACGGTCGTCTCTTTTCGCTTCTGATGCAGCCAGCAGTCAGACAGAAATCAGAGGACAGGCTACCCGTCAATCTAAAGCAAGGCACGCACGTCGCATCGCATCACTCTTCACCTAAGCTTCTCACTTCTCACTGCACATCTGTAGAGACGCATATGCGCGCACACCCTCATCCTGCCCATCTTCCAATGACAGACGACCTACCACGAACCTCGCCCCCTCTCCCCGTCCCGTCTCCCTTACTCTGGCCAGCCAGCGGGAGCTCGGCAAGCCCATCAGCAGAGTTTCCCATCAATCTCGCACGCTGTACGACGGAAAGGTGCAGCGCAGAACACAGACAGATGCAGCAGCTTGGCTTCAATGGGACGGGGCGAGCTGGATGCTTTTTTCAGCTGCGCCTCGGCACATCCCACTCGAGCCTTACCTCGACTACTACTTCCATTCGCCCATAGGGTATATCGCACTAAATAAGCCCGTAGAGACCATCTGGAACTCATTCGTAGCCGCAGTTCGCAAGTGCTACGTCTCTGCTCCCCCATCGCCCCTCGCTCATCTGCACAACGTCGAACCGTCCCCTCGCCTCCGCGG